AGGAGTTGTAGTCAATCTAGCTTTCAATTTTGCGAAGCTTTTTCTCACAATCATCTGACTATTTGAACTTGACCATTTTTTGAGTCAACCTAGTCAATGGTGAGGCTATGGATGAAAATCCTTTCTCGAACCTTCTATAATAACCTGCTACACCTAAGAAACTTCTGATATCTTTAGCAGAGGTAGGGCTAGGCCATTGTTGCACTGCTTCTATCTTTTGTGAATCTATGCGGATCCCTTCGCTAGATAAAATATTATTAAGGAAAGCAACGAATTGCAACCAAAACTCGCATTTACTAAACTTAGTGAATAACAGGCGATCTTTGATAGTCTGCAGAACAACTCTCACATGACTTGCATGTTCTTCCTCACTCCTAGAGTAAATGAGGATATCATCAATGAAGACGATAACAAACAAGTCTAAGTACTTTTTGAACACTCTATTCATTAAATCCAGGATACCTGTAGGAGCATTAGTTAGTCCAAATGACATAACTACAAATTCATAATGACCATACCGAATTTTGAAGGTTGTTTTCGGAATGTCACTATCTCTGACTCTGCTGATGATAACCCGACCTGACGTCTATCTTTGAGAAATGACTAGCACCCTGAAATTGGTCAAACAAATCATCAATCTTGGGTATGGGATACTTATTCTTGATTGTGACCTTGTTCAACTGTCAATAGTCAATGCACATTCTAAAAGAACCGTCTTTCTTCTTTACGAACAATACTGGTGCACCATATGGTGAGATACTAGGTATGATGAAACCATTATCTAGAAGGTCTTTCTATTACTTTTTTAATTCCTTAAGCTTTGCTGGAGCCATTCTGTAAGGAGGAATAGAAATAGGCTGAGATCAATTCCAAGGTTGATTTTCCTTTCGGGAGGAACCCCGAGAAGATCTTTTGGAAATAATTCTGGAAATTTAGAGACTACTACAACTGACTCAAAAGACGGGGTTTCAAGGCTAGTTCCTTGCCCCAAACTAGATGATAGAGATAAGTCTTAGATATCATCTTTCTGGCCTTAAAGGTAAGATATAAATTGACCCACAGGCGCTCGGCTACTACCCTTTCATTCTAAGATTGGTTCATTTGGAAACTCAAAACGAACAATCCTAGTTCTACAATCGACTAAGGCATAACATGAGTATAACCAATCCATGCCTAGAATGACATCGAAGTCTACCATTTCAAACTCCACTAGATCTCCTGAGGTGACTTTCTGAGAGACTATGCCAGGGAAATTTTTGTACACACGTCTAGCTATAACTGGGTCACCGACTGGAGTAGAGACTGAGAAGGATTCTGAGAGAGTTTCTGGACTGACATTGAATTGGACTGCTATATAAGGAGTTACAAAAGGCAAAGTCATCTCTGTTGTTTTTCCACTGAGTGAACCATATGTGAGTCACATCCTCGAGTTTGTAGGATGCCAATCTCACCTATCACTACCAATTATTGACATCACACCAAATACTTTGTCGACTTCATGAATGAACTTCTGTGGGTCCTTACCAACATACGACCCTAAAAACATAGACGGATTCATCCTAACAAAATCACAAACTCTGGTTGCCATTGATCTATCATTTATATTAGTATGAGCTAGAACTTGCTGATTGTTCTGGTTGGTCATACTCCTAGCCAAAGGATGAATTGGCTTTCTGAAATTCTGCATTTGAACTTCCTTATTTTGTACTAGAGGAATTGTGTTAGCATTATGTGACTAAGCTCTACGAGAAGGCATGATCTTAAGAGCTCAACGTCGAGTTAAATTGAATTAGATCATACATTACGTACGATAATAGTAACAAGAAGGTGAAGTTTTTTCTAAAACACTTCATAGCCTCCCTCTCATTAGATGTGGTGCACTTCACACCATGAAAAGGACTCTACTTAGTGCGGCTTTTTAAGATATCTTACAACTCTTGAACCTAGTGCTCTGATACCAAGTTTTGTCACGCCCCGAGCAACCCCCGAGACACGGATAGGGAACCTAGGACCACAGGTGATCCCAAGCTAACCCTGCTGGCATGATCATGAGCATACTAAAGATAATAAGCTTTTGCGGAAGCTAAATCATACTTAAAATGAAAAGATGGGAAATACTCATATTCTATAACTAAGATATTTGAAAAGAATCAGTTTAATACAAAAGAAATAGTAACTCAATACTAAGAGCCTCTTAACAAGACTAGAAATACTGGGACAAGGCCCAGCTAAATCTAGCAAAAATTGAAACTAAATGACTAAAGGCTGAAATGAAACTCATGACTGTTGTTCTTAGGAAAATGAGGACTCACCACTGAATCTGCTGAGTTGGAGATCGATAACTGATCTATGCGTGATCTAGATGCTAAGAATCTTAACTTACATCAGGAGAAGATGTAGTGCACGTATCCGTCACTACTTGAAAGGTACTAAGTCATTTAGGATAGAGTAAAGCTGAAATAAAACATAAGTGAACAAGCACAAAAACAAGTATAATAATCTTAACGTGATGTGCTGATTTCTGAGCTAAATGGATGCAATGACCAATTAATAACATGCTGAAACGGAATACTAAATACACTAATAAATGGTCAATGCAGAGAGTCTAACTTAACTGTGGGAGCTACTAATAACCGATAATAAAACCACATGAGCTAAATGTGCAGTCTGATGTATACGCCCCATTGAGAGGACCCAATATACCCTGCCAAAGGTATGCAGGTTTGATCACTAAACTGATTGCCCACAGAGGGGACTTACAACCTACATGGCTTGTAGTTCTGGGACAATTGGGTACGCTAAACCCTAGTCCAACTCGGTATTATGCTACTCCCAATGAATTCAATAAATTAACTGATTATATCTGAATTTCTGTAAATACTGGACAGCTCAAAACTTAACATGCAAACTGTGAATACAACAACTTATCTGGTAATTATGCATTCTTTACTGAGGCATGTATATCTGAACTGTCTGGAATATATGACCTAGCATGTGTAATTCTAGAACTAAAGAAATACAAAACTAGTGTTCTAAAATTTATGCGATAATCTGAGTAATAATGTTATAATATGATTTGGAACATATATTTAATAAATTCATAAAGTTATATTAAAGTTATAGAAACCCTAGGTTTAATCAAGATAAGAGAATCAAGAATTGACTGAAAGTAAGGACCCGATGGGTTAAAGGAACCCGCTAGTGAAATCCCACATACCTGGTGATGAAATCCATAGAAAAATACTTATGTTTTGGGGCTAAAAGTGCTGGAGCTTGTGGCGTTCTTGAGCTTTTTTCTCCTCTATTGCTTTTAATTTTCTAGGTTTTGATTTAATGATTTGACTTGGATATGTTTTAATTATGTTTCTAGACTTAAACTGACTAAAATGTGATAATTTAGGGTCAAAACGATGTAAGTTAGGGTTTAAACAGAGTGGGAAAGGTCAAAAAGACACCTCGAAAGGTTTCTGTCGGGCCTCACGATGGCCAGGACTGACGATCCGTCGTGCGCCCGATGCCTCGTCGTTGGGTCTATCGTGAGGGCCTGTTCGATAGGCCTTTACTAAAATGGGAATTACTTTTTACTCGGAGGTCTGATTTTAGCAAGGTCGGTGGATATGGAAATATAATTCAATTATCTATTTGTGGGTATGTCATAGAAGACCTAATTAATTATTTTTAAGAGTTAAAATCATTTTAAGTTGACTCAACTGCATTTCCCCTTAACTGGCTGCAAATTTTCCACCTACGGTCACACCTTCAGACCGTAGGTCCACCTACGAACCATGCTGGTCATCCATAGCTCTTATTAGAGAGTGGTTGAAGGGAGTCTTGATAGACAGGTCACAAACTACGGACCTTCGTTTGACTTAGGGACCGTAAGTCCGTTTGTTGTCCAAGGCTTAACCAATTTTTCTAGGCTGAAATTTTTGTGAGAATCTGATCCCATCGAAGGTTGTGCAGGACGCACCGTGGCTCAGGCTACGATCCGTCGATACCACCGTTGGTAGCACCTGCAGATTTTTCTAAAAAACTAATTTTTTGTCTATTTTTGCTACGGGGTGTTGTAAAGAAAGTTTTGGAGATTCAAGATAAGTTAGGAGAATGCACATACTCAGAAGATCTATATAATGAAGAGAAAGAGGCAAGACATCATCTAGAACATTGAAATCATGTTAAAGAGAGTTTCTTAAAGTAAAAGGCTAGGGTGCATTGGCTAAAGACAAGTGACTCAAACATCAAAATACTTCTTTGCTGCTATGCAGCCTAGGAAATCCTAAAACTGAATTAGAAGCCTCAAGGATAGTACTGCTACAGGCCTATTACTACTTCAATGTAATAAGGGGGGGGGGAGATGTTGTTTTCAATTCAAACCTTCTGGTTTTATGTTTTTTTGCTACCTAAGAAGATACTTAAAATAATTACTTCTACAAGTAGATATTCTTATGGACTGGAAGGGTAGAAAAAAGTAATAAATCAACTATAAATTAAGAAAAACTATGCAAACCCAAAGTTTCTAGTGGGTTCAATCTATTAAGTGTGGAGCACTAGAACAATTTTTTCTTCCAATTTTGTTATTGCTAAGATGATATGGAACTTGAGTCACAGAAACGACAAACAATGGGTAAGGTGGGTCCACAGCTACTATGTCAAGAATCGATTAGTATGGGACACTGACCAACCACTAACATCATGGCTACTAAGGAAGTTTTTTAATTGTAAAAAATATTTTGAGGCAGCTGGAATTTCTTATGAGAAATATATGGAGTTGAAAGACTTCTCAATTAAGAAGATGTATAGACAGCTAGTTGCAAGGGAACTTCCCTATATTTACATAGAAAAAGTTAGTTAGTAACTATCTTGGGTGCACCGAAATTCTGTTTTATTTTCAGGATGGTTGCACTGCATCTTGAAGCACTTTCCTATATTATATTAATAGTGTGATACATAAATAGTATAAATTGTAATCCATTTAGAAAATAAGTAATTTAAGAACAAACCATAAGCTGGAAAGTCATTTATGGTCCGTAAAACAGCCGCATGCATCTTAAAGCACTTTCTAGTTGATGCATCAAATGTCTCTACACCATCACTCCATAACTCTTTCATCTCATCAATAAAGGGACGCAAATAAACATCAATATCTTTCCTGGTGCTTGAGGACAAGAATAAGCAATGGCATTATCATAAATGGGTCCTTAGAACATTTCCAAGGAGGTAGATTATAAGGAGCAAGAATGACAGACCACATGCTATATGATGTGCTAATGTTACCGAATGGGCTAAAACCACCCGTTGCAAGACCAAGTCTAATATTACTAGGTTCTTGTGAAAACCACTCATGATTTTGTCAAACTCTTTCCATGCTTCAGAATCAGCGGGATGCCTTGACACATTTTCCTCATCAAGATGTTTTTCTTTATGCCACTTCATGTCCACAATTGTTTTCTCTAGAGATAAACAATCTTTGAAGACTAGGTTTTAATGGAAAATACCGCATAAATTCATGGGGAATCTTCTTATTCCTTCCATTATCAATTTCCACGTGGAAGTACCACAATGTGGACACTCCTGCCTATCTATATGTTCAGCCCAGTACAATACACAATCATTTTTGCAGGCATGGATCGAAATATATCCTAATCCTAAACCCTGCAACATGTTTTTAGCATCCTAATATGACTTCAGAAGTGTCTCATTAGTATTCAATGCCTCTTTAAGAAACTCCAACAACATATCTAATGATTTATTACTCCAATGATTGTACACTTTCAAGTGTAATAACTTCACAACAAACGAAAGCGTTGAAAATTTCTTACATCCGGGGTATAATTCACGTCCTGTTTCTTCCAGCAATTTGTCAAACTTCTTAGCTTCTTTATCACTCATATTACCGCAAACATTATTACCCGTCGTCTCCTATGAAAACTCGACAAATGATCTACCACTGGTCTCTTCTAACATAGTGTGAATTCCATCATGGTTATCATGAACTTCATTTTCATCTTCAGAAAAAATTGATTTATTGTTATCTCTCATTTGTGATTGTTCCCCGTGGTAAATCCATTGCACGTAACTTCCCATAATTCCTTTGATCAATAGCTGGTCATACACTACTTCTTGTGTTTGAACAAAAACATTCAAACAACCTTGACATGGGCATCGAACTTTTGAATTTCTATCAAAGTGATAACGAACAAGTTGCATGAAAGATTGGACACCCTCAAAATATCTTTTAGAGAATTTTGGTTCATGCATCCAGCTTTTATCCATGATCAACTGCACAAACATAACAATTATTCATTAAATATTGAAATAGAAGCACATGCATGATTCTTTCAAATAAAATAAAAATTACAATAAGTATTTCATCCATGCTGGAATACTAGCGAAAAGTAACTTCAACGGATTTCAAACAAAAACATAAACAGTATAATCCCACAAGTGTGGTCTACAAAAGGTGGTAGGTTCGCAGCCTTACCTCTATCTTGTGAAGGTATATAGGTTCTTTTAGGCAAACCCTCAGCTCAAGTAAAGAATGCTAACATTAAGCGAAAAATAAACACAATGATAAAGACGCCATGTAAAAAAAAAATACAAGTAGCAACAATAAACAAATAGATGTCTAAAGCAAAGTTAGTCATAGTCCAAATTTGCATTGATTAGTCATGGTGAAGTGATGAGACATTTATATCAAAGTAGTTAGTAGTCCACATTTGTATTGATTAGTCCATATTATTGTCTTTAGTTTTTGAAAGGTTGTCTCCAGCCCTTGAGCCTTAAGACTTACCTCAACCAATTGCAATTAGGGTTGGAACCTCACTAGGTACATAATCAAATCTAAATATTTTTGTTGTAATTCACCAAATGTTCTCCATTATTTCTGCTATGCAACAAATGAGGATATACCTGTTACATTCCTTATCCTCTTTTGACATTCTCTTCCTCACAATAGTAAAGAAGTCATGCTAATAATAAAGGAAAGGAACTCAGTATGCTTGAAACTACATGCCATGATATGGCTTCACTGCTACGCGGATTGGGAATCAGTGTTGGTGCTGGCACTATTCATGAGGTTTGCTTACACTCCGTCTCTCTAAACATCTTCCATCTTTGTTAAGTGGTACTTAAGAGTAAGATCTTGTTTCAGGTTCGCGTTGCTTATAAAAAAGCATTGCTGAAATTTCACCCGCATAGATCTTAAGGATTTGATATACAACAGCAAGTTGAATCTTAGGAGAAATTCAAGCTTATTTCTCGAATGAAGGACAAATACTTACCAACTTTATGACAGGAAAATGATTATAGGAAATTTTGTGTATAGAGATTTGAATGTGAACAGCTGCATTTAAATGTGGAGAAGAGTTTTATTTCCAGGTTTAGTTGTCATCTCCTCGTGTTTTTGTTGATGTAAAGCATAAAGAATCTCTAAACGGAAAGGGTTCAAAAATGCACTTAATGTATTAGAAATGTTTCAAAAATGTCATAGTTCCATCTATCTGATCAAATATGCCCCTAATGTTAGTTGCAGTCTTAAGATTGCCTCTCCCTCAACTAGACAACTATATGATATTTAATTAAATTATAGTACATTTAAAAAAGGTCACTTGTACAACTAAAATTTGATTAAATGTCGTATTTGGTAAACCTAATACTTTATTAAAAGCTAATAAATAATGCAAAACTGTTACCTACATGTATCTGTCTTTATATCCATCATATAGATTCCCCGGTGGAAATTCAAGTAGTTTGTATGTATTCCTACGTTGTGAAGGTAGAGAGATTATTTCTGACAGACTCCCGACTCAATGAATCAATTTCTCTGAAAAGAATTGTATTAACAAAATAAAATAAAATGAAATAACATACTTATGGTCCTTTTAACTTCCGAATTCAATATTTCAAAACTGAACAGTTTTGAAGGCAAATAGACATGGGAATGAATTATACAATTAATTGTGGAATATCATTAGTCAATTATAGAACTGAAAGACTCCCTACTGAAACTGGTAAATTGTTGTGGACAAGGGTTAGTGATGATGAATTTTATTGGGCAACTGCTACTGAATTCGATAAATTTTGTTGGGCAACTGATACTGAAACTGTTAAATTTTACGAGGCAACTGGTACTGAACATGGTAGATATTGCAGGGCAACTGGTACTAAACCTGTTAAATTTTGGCGGGCAACTACTATTGAACCTAGTAGATTATGGTGTGGAATTGCCATCTAAGCTCGTAAATTTTGGTTGGCAGTTGATACTAAACCTAGATGATTTTGGTGGGGAACTGCTACCGAAGTTTGTAAGTTTTGGTGGGGAACTGCTATTGAAGCTATTGAATTTCAGTTGGCAACTGATACTGAACCTGGTAGATTTAGGTAGGCAGTGGCTACTGGGGATTGACAATTTTAGTTTGCAAGTGAAGAATTTATGTGAGCAACTTGTGAATTGGTTTGAAAGAATTAATCACTGGTTTCACAAAGCATTACCGTATTTCAAAAATATCGTTATGTTTGTAGCTCTCTGCATATATTGTTGATATCTCCTTGGTAGATTACTGATAAAGGTGGTGATAAGTTTTTCGTAAAATAATTATTGTTGAAGTTCTAGAAAGTACGATTTGAGTATGCACTAAGATGTACTGTTATCTGATGTGCTTTTTATCTATTCAGGAAGAAAAAGAGGAGGAGAAGTTGCGGCTACCGAAAACAAGGAAGGCTAAACTTATGCGTTTATCAGAAATGGAGAAGAGAGAAAAGCAGCGCGTGGAGGAAATGAAAGAAACTCAGAAGAAGATATTACAATTTGGCCTCTTTTGTTGTCTATTTCATGGTTTTTTACAGCCTATTTATCTTTCACATTCTAATCGATGTACCTGTTTTATCTTTCTTGCAATATCGTCTTCTCTTATATCGTGTGGTACTTGAATTCTAAACAGAAAAGGTTCAAAAGTGCCTCTTAGTTTCAGTCTCTAAATTGCCTATCCATTAATGACACAACTATAGAGGTCACTTAAATAACCAAAATTTTACTTAATTTCATGTTTGGTAAGCCTGACTCTTTAAAAGATAATAAATCTAAACAGTATAAGAAAATGCCAAAACTTTTATCTACATGTATATGTCTTTATATCCATCATATAGATTCTCTACACATCATTATCAAAATCCTTTGTTTAAGTTTAATCTCAAAGTTAAATAGACATGCATTTCACTCGTTTCTCATATCATAACTTAAATTACCTAAAGATGGATATAGGGCAACTTATCTTAGTCTTCTTTTTCAGTACCCTTTGCTTCTATCTCTTATGGACACTCGTAAAATTCGTTTACTTAGTATGGTAGATGCCACTTCAAACACAAAATAAATGAACTCGCAGGACAATAAAGGCCCTTCTTATAGTTTTCTCTTGAAAATACCAAAGATATATCACTAAGGAGAATCCAAACTACGGATGAAACTATTTTTTCAAGGATTCGACCTCATGTTCACACATGGACAAGGATGTACGGTAAGAAAATCAATTGTTTATGGATTTAAAAGTATAAGCAAACTTCTGCTGACTTATACTGCCATTTTTTAACTTAAGTACTACTCCGTCAAAGTGTATTCGGGAAATAGATTACACGTCCTTTCTTAACATATTAGACATATTTTTCATGGTTTTCTACTTCTTAAAGTTTTCTTTTATGTAATTTGTAGGACAAATCCTCGTTTATTCTTCCTTTAGATGCATTATTTGAACCCAAAGGTGTATCCAAAAGATAAAACTCTTTTCAATTACTGATATGAGTTGCCGGGAATCAATGGAGAAATTCCATTCAATAATGAGTATAAGAACACAAAGGTAACCAAATTAATTAGATAAATACTAATGACTCCACACATAAATCAAACTTCGATTGAATTTTTTAACAAAGCTGTTCATAAGTCAGAATGTAGTATTTTGATGCAAAGAAACTAACAGAGATCAAGGAAAAGTCCAGCAATGTATGAAAAGAGACCAAGATTAAAGTAAAATAGAATACTTACTAAGCACAGATGCAGCTGATTGCTGATGGCTGATGGCTGATGGCGACAACACGAAGGCTAGAGAGTTCGACGGCCACAACTTGAGAAAGGAAGAACAAACGATGCAGTTTCAAAAGTTTTATAAATGCCTAAGGCTATATTGACCACAATTGTTTAATTAAGTGAAAGAGAAACCCTTTTTTTTCTTTTAATGAGAGAAATTAAAAATAATTTTAAAAACTTTATGGTATCAAAACTTGGTTTATATTTAAAAATGTTGCGTGTTGTTTTAAAAAAAAAAGACATTACAAAATTAAGATATTTATAGTTTATTTAATTTATTTTGTTATTTAAAAATATAATTTACTAATTACATCACATGTTTATTATTAGCTAAATTTGATATAATAAGTAAAAGGAAAAATTACATTTATTATCATTTATAGCAATATAATGCTAAATCTGCAATATGTATTAAAAGTAAATTACGTATGGAATATATATGAATTATAATTTTTTTCGAAATATATTATGTTTGTTTAGTAAGAAATTAACACATTGTATTATAAGTGTATTAAAATGTGTGATAATTGTATTTATCATCAATAAAACATGAATTATATGTAAATAATAAATTGTTACTTGTAATATGTATTAAACTTGTATATAAATAATTAAAAGTGATCAAGTGAAAAAAAATATTATCACTATAAATGGTAAATATTTTTTACTTTAGTATATTTTTATAAGTTTCCCCTAGTAAAAATTGTTTAAGGAGGCATCCTTTGCTGGTTAATGAAATGTGAGACTCGATCCCACAAAATGTTACTCTTTCTGAACATCGTTTGATATCGGGTCATACGTCCTAAATACTCAATGCTTTTCACAATGTTATGTTTAATTAAAACATAGAGCGCTATCATTCAATATATATGTTATGTTTAAAATATAGAGTGTTTATCATTCAATATTAAGATCTACATAAAATCTTAATTATTAAGATGTGTATTTAGATAAGACGTCTTAATCTTAATAAAAATAAAATGAGATCCTTTTGATACATTTGACATTTTTACAATTAAAGGCTATGAGTTCAATAATTCTCGTTTGACTTTTAAAATTTATGTCAAGTAAAAACAAAATAAATAAATTAGAAAAATATAACATTGCATCCTCAAATTTCTTATTTATTTATTTTGAAATGGAAAAGGGGCCAAATACGTGTGTGGAACAATCAAACAGAAAAATACACCCAAAATATGAAGAAATTCAATCAAGAAAATAATTTAAAACCCTTCACCTCCTTTCTTCTCAACCAACCTCTCTTTTCTACCAACATCTTCATCTCTTTTTCCCCCCAATCTCTTTAGTATCAATTCGTACTAGCTTTATGATATTTTTATCTTTGAAGTACACAACTTAATCCATTCAAGAAGTTTGTACACGACAAAAAAAACACAGTGTATAGCGACGGATATTTGCGATGTAATCAATTCCGTTGCTTTATAACTACGGATTGCAACGAAGTAGTCATTTCATTGCAAAATTTACAAATATTTCTTTGAGTTAAAATATAGCGACGGAATATGTTTTTTGTCGTGAAATAATAGCGGGAAACTTTGACGCATTAAATTTCGCTATAGATTTTGAAACAAAGTACGTTTTATAAATTTAATGATATATTGTGACGAAATTAGTGATGGACATGCGTTACTAGAATGTGAAATATATTTTTATGGAATATAAATTATGTATTGATAAAAAAAATTCTCTAAAAATTAATGTAAATAATTATATTTATTTACGGCGACGAATATCAGAATTTGTCGCTAAGTTAGTTGCAATAATTTTTACCAAGTCATCAATCATTGAAAGCACAAAAAGGAAACAAAAATTACAATCACTAAATAATAGGATTTTATCTCTCTGTGAAACATTCCAAGAGTTGCGCAACAGCTGAGTTAAGAATTCTCTGGTCTCCTTCTCCTTTCTCCGGTCTTCTTGATGTAAGAATTTGATTTCTCCGATCTCCTTCTCGTTTCGATTGCTCTCGTCTGTCTCTCCTTTCGATTCATCCCGTCTCAGGTGAAATTGTTCCCATCTCAGGTTCACGGTGAAATTGCTCCTGTTTCCTTCATCCTCACGTGAAAGGTGAGCTTCTAGTGCGGTGAATAGGAGTGTTTTGACTTCTATTTGGTGAAAAATAACTAGGGAAATGGATGGGGTTATCAGGGAAGAACATTGGTCTTCTGGAAATTTTCTTGGATATGTGATGTTATGCATATTGATAAACCACATTGTCTACTGAACTCACTCTAACACAATGAAAAATCACCGGTAAAATCACTTCTGATGGAAGTTCTTCTGCTGCTGCACCACCTAAAACTTGTAAGCAGTGTTTCAAAAATAAAATGATAATTGCTATTGATGTACACAGTATAAGATACTTATATTTATTTATTGTATGTTCTCTTTAAGTATTGCGGGTAGCTTAGCAAATTTAGTAGATATAACTTGCTAAAAGTTGATTTAAAAAAATCAAAAAATGATAAATAGGTATTGACATGATTTAGCAATTAGATTTTAATGATGAGTACATATCTCAATGATGTTTCAATATAAGAGTGTGTGCTCTATCTACTTTAGCATTCAGTGTGAGATACGAGATGAGAATGAGGCGTTTCAATGGCTTAAATTAGCTTCTACGTTCATTAGCAAAAGAAGAGATTTTCTATTGTTCTTAGTCTCTTCTCATGAAATTGTTAGTAGAAGCTTCAACGCTAGTTGTTTGGTATGTTTTTTTCTAAAGGTTTAATGTGTTAGCTATAAATTTTTATCATGATCTCGATGGAATGTACGTGTTTTCCTTGTGTCTTTTCTTTTAGTGTTGAGAGCTTGAGTTAACTATTGTTTTTAATATTTTACTTTCGTTCGTTACTATTGTTTGCTTCTACTTTGCTCTAATTTCTAATTTTGAAAATTTTTAAGATTTTTTTACTCTAACCTTGCTTGCTTCTACTTTTGCTTGATGAAATTCTCGATATCTCAAAATCACAGTGACAAGAAGTCTCCAAGCTTTTCACTGTCTAGTCACTGCCTGGAGAAAGGTAACGTTTCCTTCGTAATCTTCTCCTCGTCTTCTTTTATTCATGATATGCCTCACTAGACTGTTTTTGTATCATTGTTGTTTATAGATGAGAATTGATGACTTTAATTTGCGATACATGGGTTCTTAATGGATTTTGTTGATTTTATAAATGTGAGAGTTCGCTTTTATCGTTTAGTATTTAGTATTGACGCTTATTTGTTCCTTTTTGTTTGAATCTATTTTTGGTGACTACTCTTCGCTACGTCGTAGAATCTCTGTTTTTCGTTTTCGTTGCCTGTAAGCCTATGTTTTACAATTAGTTTTGCTACTATTAATGATGCTTTCTTTTCAACTGTAATGCTTCAACGCCTTTTGTTTGTCATAAATTTTGTGGGACTAAGTCTGCCTAGCGAAGAATTGTAGAAATTATTTTTCTTTTGCCTAAATGCATGTTTTGTTCTTATATGATGAATGTGAACGAGAGTACCTTCTGGCCCACAGTTTGTGCTTGTTACTGATTTTTTATTCTTGTAAATTTAAACTTTATTAGGAATATGAATAATCTAGAGCGTGGTTCGATGTATGATAGCTTTGATGGTCGAGGGGCTATAATTCTAGTTTTGTAATTGGAGTGGATAAATTTTATCCAATTTGCATGTTTGCAATAGAATCGTATGAGCGGAAATAAGTTAGATGTTCATGTAAGAAATATCACAACTTTAGGTTCATGGATGTTGAAACGATTAAGCATCAACTTTATAAATCAGGATTTGTTGATAACTATTTTATCTGGAAACAGCAAGGAGAAAAAAATATGTTTGGTGACATTTCTTGTGATAAAGATTTGAATGGTGGTTCTAAACCAGAATTAGGATATGATAATCCATACCGTCAAATGGTTTTAGATGCAGCTCGTCCTAACATTCCCCAAGGTTGAAGTTGGTAATATTTTAGCAATACTAAAGATAAGTAATCTCATCCTTGTGAATCTTCAGTGGAGGAAGATCCTAATTTCGAGTCTAAAGAATTATATGATTTGCTACAAGCAGCTGATGCAAAATTATATCCCGATTCTTCCCTCTCTCATTTTGTTGTTGTCTCTCGAATGTTAAATATTAAAATGGAGAACAACCTGTCACATAGAGGTTATAACAAAATGATGCAATTGTTGAAAGAGGCTTTACCTGAAGATAACATAGTGCTTTATAGCGACTATCAGACAAAGAAGCTAGTGCGTAGCTTGGGTTTTCCAGTTGAAAAGATTGATTGTTGTGAATCGGGATGTATGTTGTATTGGGTAATGATGAACACCTTATATCATGTACATTTTGTGGACATGATAGATACAAGCGTCATGTTGGCTCTCGTAAGAGGAAATTGATCCCTTACAAGAAAATGTATTATTTTCCTTTGATTCCTAGATTGAAAAGATTGTATGCATCTCATGCTACAACTGCCGACATGAGATGGCATCATGAGCATACAAAAAAGGATGGTTTAATGCGTCATCCATCAGATTTCAATAACTCTTATCCTTTTTTGCTAATAAACCAAGAAATGTAAGGTTGGGATTATGTAGTAATGGTTTCAAACAATTTAGTCAGTCTAGGAGTAGATACTCTTCATGGACAATGATTGTCACACCTTATAATTTACTTCAAGGAATGTGTATGAAAGAGGATTATAAGTTCTTAACAGTCATTGTTCTAGGACCTAACAGTCCCAAACATAAAATTGATGTTTATTTGCAGCCTCTAATGAAGGAACTGACTTTGTTGTGGGAGACAGGCGTGCAAGCATTTGAAATCTCAAAAGAACAAAACTTTCAACTAAGGGCAGCTTTGATGTGGACAATTAGTGATTTTCCAGCATATTCTACAGGTTGGAGTACTACAGGTAAGTTTGCATGTCCCTATTGTATGGAGGAAACAAAATCTTTTAGTTTGACCTATGGTAGGAAACCACTTGGTTTTGCTGTCATCGGATGTTTATTGTCCAACATCACCCATTCAGGAGAGATCGTAAGAACTTTCTTAAAAGCAAGACTGTCCAAAGATCACCTCTACCCTATAGAACAGGAGAGGAAATATTGAATCAAATTTGTGATTTGGACATAAGAAAAGTAACGGAGTTAGATGCAGAACAAGTCAATCGAAGATTATGTAAGTCTTACGGAAGGAAAAAGAGAAGAATCTTTTGGGATTTGCCTTTTTGGAGTTCTAACATGATTCAACATAATCTTGATGTCATGCATATTCAAAAAAATGTCTTTGATAATGTGTGTAGAACCGTTCTTAGTTTTGATGACAAAACCAAAGACAATCGACAATCACATCAAGATACATTAAAGTTTTGTAATCGACCTCAGTTGGCAATGGATAGTAATGGAAAATATCCCAAAGCTATATATACGATAGACAAGGAAGCAAGAGCTACCTTGTTCAATTGGGTGAAAGGCTTAAAGTTTCCAGATGGGTATGTTTCCAATTTGCGTAGATGTCAAGAAAAAATGCAAAAACGATATATGACAGGAAAAGTCATGATTGCCACGTGTTCATGAAACGACTATTGCCTATTGCCTTTTGCAAACTACTTCCTAGTAATCAGTGGCAAGCACTTACAGAATTGAGCTTATTTTTCAAAGATCTTACTTCTACAACTCTACGAGTTAATGACATGGAGAGATTAGTGAGAGACATCCCATAAATCTTGTGCAAGTTAGAACGTATATTTCCTCTCGAATTCTTTGACTCAATGGAACATCTTCCTGTACACCTTCCATATCAAGCAAGGATAGCTGGACCTGTACAATATCGATGGATGTACCCTTTTTGAAAGGTAAATGTAAAGCTTTATATAATATTAGTGACTAGTATGCCATATATTTTTGTCTTCTAATGTAATGGTCCATACATGTTATATATTTAGTTATCTAGGAACTCGTAAAAAGAAGATTGGAAATAAAGCTAGTGTTGAGAGTTCCATTTGTGAAGCGTACATGACAATAGAGTCAGACAATTGTTTTCTCATGATTTTTGAACCTCATGTTATGACATGTAGTCATAACATGGACCGTAATGATTATTGTGGGGATAAAGAAGATATTGAAGATATCCTCTGATCAAGGTCGACTATGGGGAGAAAAAAAAGGGATTTATCCCTCGAAGAAATTAAGGCTGCCCAAACTTATATCTTACTAAATTGTGAGGAGGTTTAGAATTTTGTGAGGTAATGAAAGTTAATTTTATTTTCTTAATAATATAAGAATATCCTTAAATCACGAATTTTCAATTGAATTTACTTTGTTGTAATGAAGTATGTTCAAGAAACGTTTGCAAGAAGAATTTCTGAATCTATCTCAGGGTCAAATGGACGAGAGTCTTGAAGAAAATTTCTCTATATGGTTCAAGGAATTTGTGAGTATTGTGAAATTATCTTTTATATAGTAAAATACTAAAATTTAGTTTTAAAATTTACTAAGTCGTACATTTTTCTAAAAATAGGTCCAATGCAATTCCATTGAGAACGAATTCTTGCAATGTCTTGCTCGTGGACCATTTATAGATGCTACATGTTATTCTGTGTATTTTGTGGATGGATACAAATTTCACACAGAATGTCATGGAGCGCAAGATCAACAATGAATAGTGGAGTTTATATCTCAGATATAAATTTTGGTGATTACTATGGATGGATAAAAAAGATATTACAAGTGGAATACCGCAATTCACCTTTAAAGCAAATTGTATTATTCAAAAATGAATGGTTTGACCCAACTATGGATGTTGGTGTTAAAAGAACAGTCAATACAAATTGGTTGAGATTAACCATCGTCGTCGATATAAAAATTATAAACAGTTTATTCTTGCAATGCAAGCAACACAAGTATGTTATATACCTTATCCTAGAAAGAAAAAGGACAATGATGATTGGGTAGTTGTGTTGAAGGTCAAACCTTGAAATTTTATTGAATTGCCTAATGAGAAAATGTCAATACCTTCAGAAGTAAATGTTCCATTTAATGTTGAAGTCCATGAGATAGATATGATAGTTTCCGTTGATGAGTTTCTACTCTTAAATGATCAAAATGGAGATATAATTGAAATGGATGAACCCATTGATGATGGACTTTTGCAAGAGAATCATGAAATACACATAGTATCCACTGAAGAAGAGAAACTGATGAGGATGAGGATAAAGATGAGGATGAGGATGAGGATGAGGATGAGGATGAGGAAGAGGAAGAGGAAGAGGAAGAGGAAGAGGAAGAGTTAGAAGAATACAGTGACTAGTGATTGATCATTTGTTATTGTATTTTCACTATATTTTGTTTGTTTCTGATTTCAATGGAGGATAATTTGTTGTAGTTTCTGCTTTTCAATTTAAGATTTAAAAAGAAATAGTTCTTGTCTTTGAACTACTTGTGCTTAATTTCTTATTTCAATTCCTAATTAAATATTTGGGAGACTTATTGTAATGTAAATTTTTGATCATTTCTTTGAATTGAATGACATTACTTGACAGTGATTCTGTAACCATCAATTTCTGGATCCTTATTAGAATCACATGGAGATTTCAATTAACAAGCTCTTAAAGAGAAAATTTTCATATTTCATCTTTGTTCCAAAATATCTAACAATAGTGTTTTATTTATTTATAGGTATGTCTGGGAGGCAGAGGTCGTGGAAAATCCTCAAGTAGGAGTAATCATGTTATTCGTGTAAGCATGCCAACTAATCCCAAGCCCACTAGATTTTCTCCTAAAAAAAGGTGGTATCCCGATCAATATTGTAATGTCAACTCAGAGTATTAGCCCAATCATCTGTGAGACATCTCCAGTTACACCAAATGAGAGTAACCGAATAGGTTAGGGTCTTTCTAACCACAACGATGTTCTAGAGCCTTATTACAATTTCATTCCTAGTGTAAAGCTTCGTTTATAAGTTCATGTACCATTCACTACAATTTTCATATTTCAGCATTATTATTCCATGTAATCTCATTATCTAACAACAATGTTTT